AAAATCTGGACATTGATATTTTTTCTTGCAAATTATTGATATTGCAATGAGGAATTTCAAGTTTGTCAGTCTAGATCCTAGGAGCGGAGGTTTAAACAGGAAGTTCACGGCAAACGACAAGAAGTACACTTCATGTCGCTTTCCGTGGATTTCATACTCAGTTCCTCTAGCTACATTTGAAAGAGACTTAGAATTCGCATTCCTTGTCCTATCTTCGAAAACTTTTACATGTTCTTGTCTGTTGCCATTCAGACGAAAATAAGTTCAAATTCTATAGAATTATTCTGACCGAAGGTCGACTTTCTTTAGGTGGTGTACGTTTTTTGAGCTCTCCCAAGAGTACACCTCGAGGAATTTAGAAATTCTGATCGATACCTAAATTATACTAGTTACTCAACGTGTCCTTATCAATATATTGCTAAAATATGTTTCCGTGTTTTCTTTCAGGTCAATAAGTACAATATCAAGAAAGTTCGTAAATGTTTACTTCCTTTTTTCATCTTTAAAACTGCGCACGGCTCAAGTCTACGAAGAACGTAGAATAAGGACAGTTAAGATACCAAGATACACACGAGGTGATTCGTTTTTAACCTTATGAGAGAAATAAATTTTAAAATTCTCGATTAAAGTTTCCCTGTTTAATATTAATAAGTCGCGAAAAAGCCATCATAAAAGTTATACAACAAAATTGTGAATAAAACTCAGTAGTACTTAACAGTTTCGTTATTCAACCATTTTCATGACGAAACATACCACGTTATTTTTGTTCTCAAGTAAACAAAAGAGGATTAAACTCAGTATCCAAGGAACTGCGCACCTACCCCTCCCTTCTCTTTACCCGACGAATGTCAATTGGTAACAATTTAGGATTAATGTTGGGTTAAGGGGGGTAGCTACGCAGTCACTTTGATGTTGACATTAGTCTGCAAAAGAAAAAAAGGGGGGAGGAAGTTGAAAGTCACCACTTGTTACCTTGCTATGGAAACCCCTTTTTGGCGTCTCTCTTGTGAGACTCTGTACATCGATAAACGTTTTACAGGTTTTCATAAATGTTTTTGAAAGGAATCACCCGTTGGAATGTGATAGAATACCAAAGGCAAAAACTGTTAACTAGAACTATCTCTCGAAAAAACCTGAACAAGGAGATGTAATCATAAACTAACCCGTATCTGCATTATCTGTTTCCTTGGACGTCATCTTGTTTTTTATCCGCTGCCATCCTTCTTGATGTACGATTGCCTTAAATGGGATATAGAAACAATTCTAATTCAATGACGATGAACAACCGATAAAACATCAGGACAGAGTAGATTTGGCGTTTCAACACACAGTTGTTTCATGCGGCGGTAGGCTGGCTCTGGGAAAAACTCGAACATGTTCTAAAATTGTTTTGGGGGGACTGGGACATGATTCAAATTTACTTTTCCATCCTTGAATTTTTTTTTTTTTTTTTTTTGCTTTTAAGACACATTAGATAGATATTAGGATAGCCACGGTACTGGGAATTTTGTGTAAGATTTAAATAGAGGGGTTTATTAGTGCGATACTGTTTTTACCCCGTAATTTTTGTTGAGACGATCACTAAACTAAAAAATATTTAGAAGCACTCCCCCCAGAAATACTGCCTCCTTTTCTTAATAGATAATAACTTATAACGTTCTTAGAGCACATTATTTCACGTCTCAACAGATTTCAAATTTCAACATGTAATAGAAAAAAGGAAAAAATTCCTGTCGAATCAAATGATACTTATCTGTTAAAATCAAAATGCGCCCCTCTTTCACTCCCTAGGAATACCTAATTACAGTTGATAAAATATAAATTAAGTCACTGGTGCAATTGTTGAAATGAATCGATTTATACATATAGCTTTAAAAGCGATTTAAACGTAGGTAAAGTTAATGCGTTCCTAACAATTGCTGGAAGGCTTAGTGCGGCACTGGAAAAGTCCTATGATAATACTTGTTCCTTTTGGCCTCCGTTAGGTGTTTACTCGTATTAATGAATTTCCAATGTCTTGTATTCAATTTTAAAAATGTATTCTCCCAGGATTAAGATGACGCACACAAGTAATTAACTATGAAAGCTCTGAAGTTTCTGAGTGTCGCTAATTCGGCATTATTCTAACGGGTAGAGAGAAGAGCCAACGCTCTCAAAACACACTGAGCAGCAGAAGAAAGAAGCTAAATCACATGAGTTCAAAGAAGACTGAATTTCTATCTTCCCATGATTTGAATCTGTTGACTTTTTGTTGCTTGCTACAACCTGCATGTCAGCGAGGACCTTTATACACCGAGAATCGACATTCAAGACAACAACTATTTTACTTCTACTGTCAGATGTTCCAACTGTCTAAGACATGTTCATCAACACCAAAGATAAGAAAAATTTACATCATCTCATCATCGGAAGATTGTTTTTGCGATCTTTCCCGAGCTTTAGTAAACTTGAAATCATTACGGCATCTAAAAGGAAAAATTTCAAACAGATTGAAAAGTGGGCCATTCTTGAGGACATTTAACTTCGTCAGAGGTAAAAAGGAACAGTGGGTACCTTGTTAACGTTTTACGTAATACTTTTTTTTTTAATATCCCTGAAATTGCAAAAAATAAAACATTTACTGGGAGGTACGTGTCGAACAGTATATATTTAAAATTGAACTCACATTCTTCCTATTCGTTGTTTTTAATCCACAGTAATCTCATCATTAGCTACTCCCCCAATATTCATCACGCATTATTTTTCAACTTTTTGTTTGATTCCTGCGCAAGCATTTCGCACTACAAGTGCTTTCTAGTATCGCTAAGTATCGACTGTCGCAAGAAACTATTTTTTCTCTGGTTTAAGAGACTCAGTACGTTTCTATCTCGCGCGCTATTTGTTCTCTGCTGTGTTACGTTACCATCTCGTTCATTATTTGTTCCCTTTTTTGTTTGAATGTTACGTTAGCATCTCGCACTCTTTTTGTTGTCTGGTTTGTTTGACGGTTTCAGAAGATTCTGTAACAAATCACATTGGATGTTGTAATTGCAAAGTTTGTTGGTCACTTGTCATCGGCTTGCTATTCCAAACTTTTCTCAAAACTGACATAAAGTGCAGTCGATTTCTTAAAAAAGCAACAGCAATTTTGTTATCAAATATGAGAGGTGCCTGCAGCTTGGTTGAAATGAGCACCTACCTCGCTTCGGTAATTTTCCCGCTTCAAACTTAGAGGTGGGTTGCCGCCTCATTTCCAAATATTCGAGTGCACAACCAAGACCCAAACACAAAAAATTATTTTTAGTAATTAGATCCTTGAACTTAGAGGTTACGACTTTCGCTTCTCCTTTCTCATATTAAACAGGCAACGATCTGCCAGCAGGGATTTCAAAGAGACCTTTTACATAACAAACCCGAAAAAAAGATAATACTTGCAAATGAAAAAAAAAAAATTAATAAAATAAAGGAATTAAAGAATTCAAACATCAGCACTCTTTATAAGACTGCCGAGAAACTTTGTAGATAGAGCAACAGGTCTTGCCAAAGACAAATGTCCAATTGTGTATTATTAGGCAACATTGTTCGAGAGACCTCATTAACATTTTAAAACCTCGTGTGGCTCACTTTCACCTCTGTTATATTACCTCGAAAACATCTTCAGTAATTAGTAAACAAGTCCTTAACGTGGCGGATTAATCCGACGATAACTCTCGAAAGCACTTACGGCAAAGATCACTCAACCATGATCATTATTCTTTGTTTTCGAATTTCCATCACTTTCCCATTACGTTTTCAAACAAGATATGCGGCCTCCTACGACTAACAGTTAGTATAGGGCTTTACAAACGAAAAGCAAGAAAATTCCCTATACTTCATGTTTCTTACCATGTTACTCTGTGTTATAGTTGTCATTGAAATCAGAAAGGAATAGTTGAAACGTTTTGAAATTATTTTCAAATGAGATCGCACCAAGATAAAGATTAAGGCCACACTGTGAAGTCGGTTCGAAAATCTTTGCAGTGTTGTAGAGCGTTTTCAAGGATTGATATTTCCAGTATTCTTAGGTTTACTTTTGTTTTATTAAGTCTCACCTTTTCGCCCCTACGTGCTATTATGATGAATCTATAGTTTTGATCATTTATTTTTAGCGTGTGCTTGAACTTGGCTCAGTTCTCACCGTGCTAGACATTTTAATCCCTTGTTATGGTTAAGGATAACTAGTTTGCTAGATGGTCATGTTTGGGTTGGTAAAACTGACCTTGAGTTTTACCCACACTGCACATCCTGTTTTGGAAATTCCCACGGTCAGCTAACCCAAACATGTCTGTGATTTTTATATTTAATACTGGGGCACTCCTTGCTGAAAGTAGTAGAAATTAGCAGTGGAGAAAGAGAGAGAAAATTAGCTGTAGTAGAAGTAGCAGTATAGGAGAATAAAGAAGAAAATTACAGAGTCTCAGTACCACTTGTTAATTCGCCAAGCGAGTGGTAAAACCCCCACAACAGCAGTATCATACTCAGAAATCCAGAAGAACTGTATTTTTTTATATTTCCCTTAATTTCAGTCTGTTGCGTTAGTAGCTCGCGAACTATTTGTTCACTGGCTTATTTGATAATTACGTTAGTACCTTGCGCACTATTTGTTCTCTGCCGTTTTTGAATGTTACTTTAGTATCTCGCTTACCATTTTTCAGCTATGTTTGATTGTTACGTTAGTATCTCTCACACTACGAGTTGCCTGCTGTGTTTTACTGTTAAGTTAGTAGCTCACATACTATATATTTGCTATTTCTGTGTTTGAATGTTCCGTTAGTATCTCTAGCAACATCTTGAAAAGCTCTGAGCAGTTTCAGAAGATTGTGTAACAAATCACATTGGATGTTGTTTGGTCACCTGTCATCGGCTTGTTTATTCCAAACTTTTTTCTTATTCCCTGACATAACCGACCTAAAGTGCGATCGATTTCTTAAAAAAGCAACTGCAATTTAGTTATCAAATGTGAGAGGTCCCTGCAGCTTGGTTGAAATGAGCACCCACCTCATTCGGTAATTTGCCCGCTTCAAACTCAGAGGTGGGTTGCTTTATTACCAAATATTCGAGTGCACAACCAAGACCCCAACACAAAGAAATATTTTTAATAATTAGATCTTTAAAAGTTAGAGGTTACGTTTTTCGCTTCTCCTTTCTTATGTTAAATAAACAACGACCTGCCGGCCGGGATTTCAAAGAGACCTTTTACATAGAAAAAGACCTGAAAGATCGTTATTCTTTAGGTTGTATGTTGTGTAACAAGTGTAATCGTTTGCTATTTTCTGTAGTTTCAACCACAACATCAGTCGTAGAGTAATAAAGATCATGTTTTTATAAAGACGCGGAGTTGTTAATTCCAGCCACAGATTCCGCATAAGTGCAGTAACAATTAGTAAAGAAATCCTTAACGTGGCGGATTAATCCGAAGATAACTCTCGAAAGCACTTACGGCAAAGATCACTCAACCAAGATCATTATTCTCTGTCCAAAAGTTAGTGTCTTTGTTTTCGAATTTCTATCACTTTCTAATTCTGTTTTCAAACAAGATATGCGGCTTCCTACGACTAACAGATAGTATAGGGCTTTACAAACAAAAAGCAAGAAAGTTTACCATACTTCATGTTTTTTACCATGTTACTCTGTTTTATAGCTGTCATTTAAATCAGGAAGGAATAATTGAAACGTTTTAAATTATTTTCAAATGAGATCGCGCAAAGATAAAGATGAAGGTCATGCTGTGAAGTCGGTTCGAAAGTCTTTTCATAATTCCCCTTATTTCAATCAAGCAATCCTAGAAAATTCTACCGCTGTTAGTCAACATTTTTCAGTCTTTAACACTCTCCGTAGTGACCGACCGAGGCCAAGTTTAGTGCGATATTTTCCTCTTTCTGAACCAGGGCATGTTCCTCAGTGTAACTATGATAGCGTGCCGAATGTGTCTCATCTTCCAGCAGTAAATTACAGGGTTCAGAGATGAATTCAAAAATACAAAAGTATGAGAGAAGAGGTACAAGCTCTTTGTAGTGTTACTTGTCACGGTTGGGTCAGCGACTGCCAAACACAGCAAGTAAGGCAGATGGCAAGCAACAAAAATGAGATACACGTAGAAAACGCCGACTGCAGACTTTAGGACGCTCACGGTGTTTGCTATCTCACCGCTGTGTTCCACCTGCTGTATCTGCATGGACTGAATCTCTTTCTTGTGGTATCTTACCGCCAAGTAAATTTTAACGTAAACTGTTGTTGTGACAAGGAAGAACGAAACCCACAAAATGATCAAAAATATCGAGTGCACTAGCGATGGAACCCAGAGGATCAAAGATGTGAGAAACACGCTTAGCAGCCATATTGAGATTACCACTGCGACAACACGCTTGTGAGTCACAAGTTCCTGGTATCTGAGATGAAGATGAATAGCTAAGAACCTGTCTACACTTACAGCCACGACACTCAGGAACGAAGCGATAGAAAACAAACCCAGTATGATTACAAACATATTGAACGCGTTGCAGCTGGGGATCTCTTTCAGTAGGTTCTTGATCAAGAGTGAAGTGTAAAATGGTTGAACAAGACAACCAACTCCAATATCAGAAACGGCTAGACTCAAAAGCAATGTTTTCAGGCTCTTTGGCAACGATGAAGTTTTTCGAACCGCGCAGATGGTTACAATGTTAAACATGATGGTAAAATGCGACAATAAACTGTTTAAAATACTGTTTGAGATATATGTAAAACGGAGATCGTCAACTTCGGTAGTAATGGCGTAGCGATGCATTAAAACTTTACACGTCGAGTTTTGCGAGTCATTCATGATGTGCGGGAAAAAAGCTTTTTGACGAATAACTGAATGCGGATACTCCTTTCAGGGTTCAGAGCAGATGGAAACCACAAATTAACTGCAGGACTCACTCTGTGAAATATTCAGAACAGTATTCATTTAAAATTGAAAATAGCTCATTTTGTGACAGGTATAAATATTTATAGGCTAGTTCAGTGCATATGACAAGTTTTTTTTTT